GGGGGGCAGTGGGGGCAGGGGGATGTAAAATCACGAAAAATTCGGTTTTTCAATGATAACAGCTTATGACGTCATTCTCCCTTTCAGGACTTCCCGGCGGTGAAATCTACGACGACTTCGAGGAATTTCAAGATGCCGAATTGAAGAACACCTTCCCCTGGCACAAGGTTCCCCAGCTGATGAAAACCGCCATCTGGGATTAATTAAAACTACCTGCCTATCAATAATGCCATTCGAAGCGAATCAAGAGCAAGGCTCCCTACCTAACCTTATTTATTGATAACGAACGTTCAACCCCTATATTTATATTATTTATTGAACCGCACAACTTATGCAAATAGATAAGGATCGCGGTACCGAGATAACGGTTATGATAATGGCTCGATATTGTCTTAATTTCTCGTTTCGTTTTTCAGTCACATTCTCAATACTGTTCACTGAACATTTTGAGACTTTTTTTACGTTCGCGTTTTTAGTTTTTTTTTTTTTTCGAATCGCTTACATTTTTATATTACGTCTCATAATGGCTTGAAAGTAATTCAAGATTTGATTTATATGCTCCAAGTCACTGCGAGACGATTCGTGAATTTCGAATGAAATTTGGAAAATTAAAAATTTAATATCGTCGTCTCCAAACTCGACGCTGATCACGAAATTATGATGAAATATGTCCATTTGTATGGCCAATCTTATCGATGCGCGTATTCTCGTTGTCTATTGACATTGTTATTATTTATCGAGCCTAATTTATATTTATAAAACATAGAGAGATATCGTAGTGGGTCGCCAAGTATTAATCGTCCGCCATTGTAACTGTCGGTAAGGCACCTGGTTTCTCCTTTTGCGAATTTTCGTATCGTGTCGCTTGTCAGTCCCACGATAAACGTAGGACCATTCGATTGTAAATATTGATTGCATGCAATATCAAATAAATAGGCGCCAGTGCCAAAAACTAAAAAAAAAATATATTGGAACAACAGAAATTTTTAATCCAGCGTGCGCAAGGTGCATGGACGTAACGCAGAGTGTAAGATGGACTCGGCATGGCTGAATAAGTGAAACGGCGCGTTTAAAGATATTTGACTTGGTTAATGTTTTCTTGAGTACGATATAAAACTTTTGAAATTTATTTAACAGAAAAATAAACAAGAAAAAATATAAAATATAAATATTTAATTTATTTAATATTTCTGTGATTTTATTGATATGACTGAAAATGAACCATGTGTCTCGAAGCCAGCCTTACGCACCTCGGATTAGGATGATATCTTATTAAAATTTAGTATCTGACTCACCGAGGACGTCGGAATTCACCAGGACGCTGCAGGAGTACATTGGTGTTACTAGACGAGGTCTTCTGGAGGACAGGGCACGACGACATGCTTCCTTACAGGTTGACATTATCTGACCTCCCAGATGACCCTGACTCTGTCCACCAGATTCACTGTAAGAAGAGAAAGCAATGGTGTTAATTAAATCAATACTTCCAGAATAGATTCTTGGGATAAAAATATAAAGTCACGCCTATTGGCTTGTTTATGATGGGCTTGGATCCTTACCTGTGACAATCTTCACGAATCTCCCATTTTTTCACAACCAAACAGACACCCATCATGGGCTCCTCACAGAGTGGTCCAGCCAGAGTTGCCAACTGGAAGCCATTGATCATGCTGTTATCATATCTGTATAAATAAACATCGTGTTCGTAAAGTGTGTTACAGGTGAGAAAGATTGAGAGAAAAAGTTTGTCGGTAAAGAATGAGGGAAAAGAATAAATATATTTGAGTACTCACGTAGCTCTGAGGTCGTTTGATTTAATTTGAAGTTCCCAAAATGGTCTCCGTTCGTAATCTGTTTCATTGAGAAGAATATTAGGTCCGCATTTACGTGGACCAAAGGACCAGATTCTCTCAAGTATATCGTCCCATCCAGAATTTTTGAAAGCACTCCTCAATTCCGTCTTTAAAGCCTCAATCGCCTTTTGGGTTCTCTCTGTAAGAGAAGATTGAACAGAAGATAATTTTGATGGAACATCATTGGGAACATTGACGTCCTTTTCTTTTCCCAGCCTCTCAACATGCTGATCCAATAGTTTTAGAAGATCCGAATTCTTCTCCAGGATCTTCGTCACTTCCTCGGGAAGTGGCTTAGCGTCTATTTCGAAACAGCACTGTCTATTCGTCGTCCAAAATTCTAAATTCGCTTTCTCTGCTTTACTCTCGATCACTTCATTGACCATATCAAGTTTTGGCGGTGGTACGACTGTCTCGCGAAAAGGCACAATAGGTTCAGAGACGTTCACTTCGACTTTTGCATATCTCAACTTTAGATCTTCTAAGCATCTTTCAAGATGAACCTCACCGGCAGTGTTTAGGACGATCTCCCCAGTTTCCTGAATATGCACAACAGCACAAGCATCTGCCTGATTCAAAAGTTTTAGTCCGTTAATGAGTTTGGATAGATCATTTGGATGTTTTGGTTCTAGGGCCACCCTGAGAATTGGCACTGTCAATGACGTTAACTCTGCGAAGGATGGGCAAGCTACCGTGGTTGATAATGTTGCTGTTTTCAACACGTGTTCATCCAAACCGCCAATTCCGAAAACATTACCTGCTGGAACTTCATCTATCGGTTCTAATTCTCTGCCCATAAGAAGATACAATTTCTCGATTTTGACACGTGTCACGTGTCGTCCTGGTTTTAAGTCCTTCAACAGAGTTGACGGATCTACTTCTTCGCCAATTTTTAAACGTTCCATTGCTATTCTTGGGTCGTGCTTTGGTCCCAGGACATAGAGTTCAGTTCCTATTCTCAAAGTTCCGGAATAGACTCTTGCGAAAGCCACCAAGGCATCTTCCGAATCTTCTTCTTCGATTTGGCTCACTTCATCCAGCACGCGGGTAGCATTCGACTCGTTGGAGTCAATCGACCCATTTTGTTCCTTCTCTAATTTAGCTGCGTGTTGCTGACGAGCCAGTTCTCGTCTTTCGGTTAATTCCTCCTGAGACAGAGGTTTCGGCTTGTTCTCCGGAAGTAACTTTCTCTCGACTGGAAACATCTTTGATATAAATACAATGATCGGAGCATCCTCGCTTGGGTCGCATTTCAAGAAAGCTTCCTTGAGCTTCTGAGTCTCTGGTGGTAACGCCGAAAAATCGCCATTGCCACTCATGAGACGTTCTACTTTATCTTCCGTTAATTTATTAGGGGCTGGTATTTTTTCACACACTGTATTCAGACAAGCTCGTGCCAATGGCAGCCATTGATAACATATTGCTTGCAGCTGAGCTTTTGAATCTGTATGACGTAGGTCTCTTGTTGTTAATTTGATGTTTAATTTATCAACCATAGATATCATTTTCTCTTTATCCTTCCTGATTACCACTGTATCGTAGAGTGCCCATACGTTTTCCAGGATAAGTTGTACGAATAAGGGTTTCTTGGCCTTCTCTTGAGCACCCTTCATTATTCTTTTTGTCTTGCTGTTCATGTAATAATCACCCCAAAGTGTCTTGAGTAATACTTCTTCGCTGAAGCCCAACTTCTCAGAGAAGATTCTTGCAAATTCCTTCACCCCAAAACCCCATCCATCGACTGCACTGGTGAAGAGTACGTTCCCTTGTTCCGGTGAGAAATATAAATTTGAATCATCTGCTTCTTCCAATGCTGATTGCCAATCTGCAAACGTCCTTCTTGCAACATTGTCCTCTTCTGACTTCTTTGATATCTCTTCCTTTTCTTCTCTTTCCAATATATCACTGGTGAATAATTCTCCCACAACAGCATTCACTTGCTCCAAGACTTGAGTGAGATATACGTATGCATCCAGTGGAGATAATTTCATTTCGGTGATTAGTCGATCTATTTTATTTAGAACTAGAATAGGCTTCAGGCCTTCTATGTATGCCATGGATAAGGCGCTCCTTGTTTGTGGACATATTCCCTCTACTACGTCAACCACAACTATGGCACCATCGCAAAGCCTAACTGCAGTAGATACTTCGGAAGCAAAGTCTACGTGACCTGGAGAATCTATAAGATTCACTATAAACTCTTCATTATTATAAGTATGATACAGAGCAATAGAACTTGATTTCATAGTTATCCCACGCAGTTGTTCATCCGGTCTACTATCCAAGTAGCGTAGCTTACCAGCAAGCTTGCTGGAGATAATTCCATTACTGGCTACTAAAGAATCTGCCAGCGTAGTCTTCCCATGATCAACATGAGCAAGTATACAAATACTTCTAATAGATTCCGATCTACTCTGAAGCTCTGCAAGTTTCTCAGGACTGACCAGTCTCATTTTGAAAATACGTCCTACACTTAACTATGATCTACTTAATACGTACGTCAATATATTTATATATAAACGTAAGGAACACAGCAAAAACGATGATCAAATAACCTTAATTATCTAAAACCAGCAGTAAACACTATTTAACTTTGTTCCAAAGTGCAAAACGTTCGTTAAAGACAAGAATGAATTTTCGCTCGATTCGCATTGCTCTCGCCACACACAGCATGCCCTTTTCCAGCGCAATAATTAACAGGACAATTATTAATAAAAGCAAGTATAACTTTACTCTCTTCGCAGTCTAATAAACAGCCAGATGTCAACGTGAAAAAAATGTGCTTGACACTTCTTCCGAAATTGGAGGTTAACCGTCTGCGGCCTGTCACTTTACTTTATCACGAGCGACAAGATATAACTTTCTTTATATAATCAAAAAGAGAATTTTCCGCACTTCAACGCAATAATCCTACTCGATCACTGTATCGTACAGTATAAAATTCAAACGAACCTATTACACGCAACCTAAGTACTCTGTACCAAAAACGGCCATTCCAATACGTCATGCGGCAGTCGCGACTGATTGTGAGCTAAAGTTGTGCAATCTTCATTTCAATTAGCACGTGCAAAACCTGCAGAGCCTTAATTTCAATTTACTTTAGATACATTACGAAATTCACTGACAGTACTACGAGTATCCTCGTGTCTCAATGTACCTGCAAGCAACAGAGTGAGATACAACTGTGCTCACGATGCTGGCAGCGAATTTCAGAACGTATACTTTACCAAAGCTGAAACTCGCTGAAATGCTGAAAATGCCGAAATAAACATTCCGCAATATATTATTACGATAACAATACGTATGGATACAGTGGAATATTAACGTGTCAGCCTTCAAATCTTTACAAGTTAAATCCAAAACCTATATATACTTCGCGAAAATTTAGTTACGAATACAACAATATCTGTAGTAGCTGTCAGTTTTGAAATATCGTATTTACAAAAAATGTACGTGACTCTCTCAACGTCACGGGCATTCGATCGTCAATGATCGACCGTTGTTAAACTTTGCGTCATTTATTATTTAACTGTTACACTCGCAACTAAAGGAAGAAGTGGGGACAGGCACGTGACTTATGTGGGTCGAAAACCACGTGGTCACCACGTGCTCCATTACCTTATTATCTTTACGCTCCAAAAACTTTGATCAATGACAATTTCCAAACAATTTCAAGTATTAGAATGAATAAGCAGCCGTTCTTTTTTTTCCCCACGAGAATTTTAAATATTTAACGTACCGTTAGGATCGTGAAAAAAAATTTAGGATGACCCAGATAAAAGTATACTTTGAACTATCCCTACAAAAATAATGTCAAGTAATAAAAAGCAGGCGCAGAATGGCTAATTGTATTTGTACACGATGCTGTCAACAATATAATTAAATTTAATTGTCGGAAAATTGCGCGTCCTTCATTAACAAAGATAAGGACCTGCGACAAAGCCAAGTGCATGCAACAAATCTACACGCTGCGATATTTGCCAGATTAATCCCATGAGAATAATGAAAAGGTAACACGGTGATGATTCTTATCAATTTTTTAACACCGCAATTCCGAATGCACGAGTTACGTAAATTAACGAGGATAACAATCTAGAACGAATTAAAACAATTAAAAAAAAAAAAATATTGACAACGCACGAAATCCATTGCACGGCAATATATAAACAGAGGAGCTCTGGCATTTTGCACAGAAGTAAAAGAAAAGAGTACGCGATGATAAAGTTCATAATTCTTGCATCTCTCTGCGCACTGGCGGTAAGTCTCTGTTGACTAAAAAAAAATTCAAAAATCCCATCATACAAATTCATTTAAATCACAACGATTAGCCAAAACCTTCGTTTAACTCTCGAGTCTTGTGAAAAAAAATAAATGACACTCTAATGGAAGATCTAAGGTACGTTTTTCGTTAAGCGGTTTTCCAATTCCCCAAAATTTCTGAAATTAGAGTCTGAAGGAGAAACGCTTTTTTATTCATCTTTTTCAACAAGCAAATGAAATTTTCAGCTTGGCCAAGCCGTCCCTCCCCCGCCATCCGGCGATCAGCTGCCCCAGTTGAACAGGGTAAGTAGGGTTAATAAGAAAAAAAGCCCAGAAATGATCTATTCGCAATTATCAAGCAACAGATTGAATTGCTCAAAAGAAAAACAATTTCCGAAAACACTTAATTATTTAATTTCGATTTCTCGCCCTTTACCCAACAGCTTTTTGAATTTACGTAGTACCTCAGCCGGGCTTTACAGTTCGAAATTTCAACTTCAGAATTTATGGAAATTACGTTATCTCAGGGAGTACTCGCTCTTTACCTTACAACTTCATGAATTTACACGGTACCTCAGCCAGACGTTACAGTTCCAACTGGCAACTCCAACATTTACGGGAATTACGACAGAGAGTACTGAGCTTCCAATTTATCAAAGGGTGATTCTGGTGACAATCCCTAGGGAATTTAATTAACTGCCAGTGAGCGCATAGGAATTTGAAACTTTATAAGAGCGTGGTTGAAAACTACACAGAGCCTTCGTTAATGTTGTCGCTCATTGTAAACAGCCACGCGACGTGCCTGATAACCATGCATACTGTGCAGCTTCGTATAATGCGATTAATTATGGTTTACGAGTATCAATCGATAACTTCATGTGGTTGGCTAAACTGAATGCTGCGACAAGAACAGAGGGTTGGTGAAATCATATATCCTAGCAACCGCAGAGTCTCATTCGCGCTATAGAAACTATATTGCTCGTCAAATCCAATTACCAGCGAGATATCGGGTAGCCTCAATTTTTGATGAAAAAATTCAAATTTTATTTTGAGTTTTTATTTGATATTGAATTTTTTTAAAATTTCTCTTTACGCAAGGTCGCAAGACAACTGCCGAAGATATCGGACATGGGACAGACGATGGGATCGGGTATGCCGCAGCTTGGAAATTCGGGTCAAGGTCAAGTAGACACCATCGATCCTATGGGGTTGATAAAGAAGGGTCAAAATATAGCTAAGGAAATTATGACAGGAAGGAAGCGTCGCGACGTTTCCGATTGGCTGGAGCTAAATCGTGACGATGTAAAATGAATATATATTTTTTTTTTTCGTCGATAAAATCTTTTTTTTTCAAAATTTCTTATTTATATTTCATTTTCAGCTACCACAGCCGCCGTCGGTCTTGTCGTCTCCGTAGACGTCCGAGTTGATACAAACTTACGAATGCGGAATGCAGCGATTTAGCGGCGAGCAGGAAGAATCTACTTCGGCAACTTTCGCGGGTCTTCGGTAAACTTCGTAAAGTTCAAAAAGCACTAATATAATTTCAGCTATCGATAATTATTGTTCGTTAAATTTTGTCGGCCTGGTAATAAATCTTGCACGATATATATATATACCATCTTTGTAGATTATTTTTAGCATTTTATGTATATTTTTTATTTTTATAGTCCACCTTATGATTCACGCTCCCTATCGTGTCACATTATTTTCTGATACCCCTCCCCCCTAAACTCTATATACAAATTCATTCAAATGGAAAATCAAACAAGCTGATATCGATAAATCAGTATTCCAAAAATATAATGATACCAAGAAATTTATATTTTCTCATTCATGCGATCAATTTATCCATGTTAAAAGGAAATAAAAATAAAATCAACAAATAAATCTGTACACGTGTAAAAAAAAATTTCCAAATTTTGCCGTCAATTTGCACGATTCCGATTGGTCGTCGCTTTCGTCATTCGTAAAGCGTCAATTTGCGAATATTATATTATTATATTTATATTCATTCCCAAAATCGGCACACGTGCGACAGGGTTCTAACTGAATTTTGAAAAATTAACGATAACAAGCTACACACAACGCATTTTGAGTCATTGACATGAAAAAATTGATAAGAATAAAAAATATTCCGCCACGTTATCATACTATCACGAATTTATATTTTACGAATAATATCAGCTGCGTCGTATCAATATACGATAACTGAATGAGATACCGAAGTATAGACTGTATACGAAATTTCAGTCCGGCTCGAGAGTTTCTAGCGACAATATATAAGTCAATACTATTTTTATGTTAACATTAACAAACTCAATATATGCAATAGTCAATATATCCTGTTTGCATTTCAGTTCAAGTATGTATAGATGATTTTTGGAATGATACGCGAGACATATATGCTCTTATCAAAAGTGAATTTATCGACACGCCATTCAATTAAAATAACGCAAGGAATCCATATCAAAATTCGAGAGTGCTTAGTGTATTAAAGAAATTCAAAAAAAAAATAATTTTACCACCAAAAATGCACCGATATACAAGTATACATATACATATATAGATGATTTTTGGAATGATACGCGAGAGATATATGCCCTTATCAAAAGTGAATTTATCGACACGCCATTCAATTAAAATAACGCGAGGAATCCATATCAAAATTCGAGAGTGCTTAGTGTACTAAAGAAATTGCAAAAAAAAAAATAATCACATCGCCACGAAAAACGTACCGACAATTGTGCGCAATTCATTCATATATACCTGGTGTAGAAAGTGAAAAATTAAAGTGATCGCGAATGAAATCGTCACCGTTCGATTGCGACGAGGATAGCAAATTTTTCACATCATTTCAGATAAATTCGCCTTTTCGTGTTCGACTATAAAACTTTATCGAGGTCAACCCCTGACATTACACTCAATGGGGTTTATGAGAATTCAATCAATCTACCTTCACACTGTGAATACGTTATTAGATTTTATTGAAAAAGAAAAGCTTTCAAATTCCCATTTTTCTCCTCCAATTATTCGACATTCAAATTCGCATTTTTTTCAAATTTCAAGAAAATCCTAGTAAGGTAAAGTGTTGAGGGTAGATTCCCGGCCCCCCCGACAAAATTCAATAAAAATCACGTATAACCATACCTGTCTTTGAATTTCAGGATATGAACATGGATTCAAGACAGGTGAAAGAGATGGATAAACTTCTCGTGTATCTCAAACCAGGTACACCCTATATAAATCGAATAAATTGATATAATCTCCAGCGCCTCGTGTTTTTGGGTAATAATAAAATTTCTTTTTTCCAGTCAGATTAAGAGATCGTATTTTCTTATCACCCTACGTCAAATACGTCTTCCCAACAATACTGATAGCGTTGACAGTGCCGCTGGCTGCTTACGGTCTGCTCTTCGCGCCGCTAGTCAAAGACAAGACTGGCAACGTCACCTGTCACATATATTCATCTTATTTCGTGGAATGTGCACCAGGTCGAAATCTCACGTACGACGAGTGCGTCATCTCGGGATGCTGCTACAACGTCCTAACGAACGTCTGTCATCATTCTCTGCCATCGCGTCACGGATACATTGTAAGCAGCATGAGTGACAGCGGTACGTAGCTGATCTGGGAGGTCATCGAGTTTCGATTGACGATTGACAGGTGTCAGTGAAAAAAATTTTTTTTTTCAAGGCGCATCATTGACCCCAAGAAAAACTCACAGCCCTTTCGGAAGTGTCAATCGGGATGCTGTGAGTCTAGAGATACAGAGCATCGACGCCAATCATCTTGAGATTATACTGTCGATGGGGGATTCTACCACGAGGTCGTCGGTCGATTCCAAAAAGAGAAATTTTTTTCAAAATTTCTCAAAACGAGACGAACGGCTTACCGAGGAGACTTTGAATGTTATGCCGAGAAATTCGGAATCTCGAACTATCGCGGTAGAGCTTGGTACGTGGGATGTTATAATTTTCTTTTTTTTTTTCTATTCGGAAAGGCTTCTTTTTTATTTCTGTTCTATGGGAAATTTATACTTTTTTTTTCGTTTATTATCTGGGACGCTATAAGAATTGCATACGGTGTTTGTATGGATATATGCTGTGTCAATTGACGTATCAGATAACGTCGATCGAATTTCAGGTATGCCTACGTCATCAGATTCCTCTCGAAATTCGATCGCTCTATTTCGGCGGGTGACGTGGAAAGTCAAAAACAGTTTTTCAAATTTTCATTGGGATATTCGATACTGTTCTCTATTGTATCTTGAGTGCGATAGAGAATTCAAATTGTTGGTACGTGAAATTCCTCATTATCGCTACATGAGCGTCCCAGTACGTATTTAAGCGACCAGCGAGATACGGTTGTCAGTGATTGACAATAATTGGAAACAGAGAGAATAAATCGATAATTAAGTTATCGGAGTCTGTCGAGAGGAATCGATTTAATAATGAAATTTCATTATAATTTCATGCGATAACATTATCGCGTAAAGTCTACGAAAGGATACTGTAGAAAGTTTTCGCTTTGTTTTTTTTTATGAGAAAATTTCGAATTTTTTTTTTTTTTTTTTTTGG